CCCCAGTCACACAAGAGGGGGGTTAATCCCCCCGAGATATTCCTTAATCCGTAGGACCGCTTGTGACGTCGCTGGAGAATACGACTCTCAGGAGAATCAAAACTTTGGATTTCGCGGATTCCAAAGTTTGCTTGTTTCGGAAAAATCCTCAACATCAAATCTGCTTCACCCAATAAATTGCATCGTTAACGCATATTTTAACTCAGTTTGTGTCTCCTAGAGACGACGGTATATTCTGGCTGCCGCACGTGTTTAGATATTTATTAGCAACTAAGCTAGACGAAGGTAACAATATTAGGCCAGAGCAAAGTGGTGCTTAGCTATTCTGTTTATGTTCTCCAAGGCTTCTGCACATACATTATCCGGGAAACATTATTGCGCCCGTACCGGATTTAGTGAGAGAAATTGCCTTTGGGATGAGGTCTGATTTACACAGTTTTCATATTTAAATTTAACACGCTTTTAATGCCAACCAACCCCAGATTGATAGACCGTAACTCTAGTTGAAGAATGTAATTCAAAACAATGGCAGTTTCATCCGACTTTTTTTTAGAAAAATTGGCTTCCTAACACAGCGGCTGATCGATGGAAAGCTGTATTTTAAAAAAATCTTCAAGTCGATTTGGAAAAAAAATTGAAGAAACGCTATTTTGACGGGAAGAGTTTTAATAGTTTTAGGCATTTGACTCAGACTTTAACTCAACAACTCCGTTGTTTGCTATCCGAAAAAATCTTGCACACACTCAGAAACGCATTCAACTCAATTTTTGAATTCCAAGTTCAAAATTTTTCACCTAAGGATTCATTTGATCGATCTTATAAGTAAAGGGAGCAAATTCTCAAATAAAATGAGAACCTTAACTTGACTTAACTATTCCCAATTTCATTTCTCAAGGCGTCTTTGTACATCGATAAAAATGTTAAATTCGTACAAAGGGCGCCTTCCGAGTGTCTCATTATACGATTGCTCGCGGGTAGGATAGAAAGGAAGGAGTCATAAAATATGGAAATGTAATTGCAATTAAGAAACCAACTATTTTATACTTCCAGAAATCACATTAAAAAAAACCTCAAATCGACACGACCAGCAGCACTCAAAATGTATTTATTTTAAAACTATTTCAATTATTATATTTGCTCGGTCTAGATTTTTTCATTGATTCATCATTTTAACCATTTAAAATTTCGTGCATGACTTTAGAAATTAATCCTCTTTTCCAAAAAAATAAATAAAAAAAAACACTACTTTCTAAAAAATTATTACAACTATTTAGAATATATGGATATGTTTTCAGGAATTGGAGAGTTTGGCCTCGTAAGAACCTCTAAAAGTAAGAAACTCCAAAAAACTATGGGCTTTTAAAAATTCTAGAGTTTTGACTCTTCCGAATGAGCAAACATTAAGAAAACTGATTGAAGTTGGAAAAATGGAAAAACCTTGACCTGAAAGGAAACAGTTTACATTGTTACATCTTTGGCATTTTTTACGTCCAATAAATCATAAAATATTTAAGCAACGAAACATATTCGTTGCTTATTACCTAATCGATGTCTTCAAAAATCTATTTAGCAGTTTTCACCAACTTTCTTTAGCCGTTGGTTAAGGAGGCAAACAACTAGGAGAGACAATCTTGAACATTTCAATGAATGGAACTGACCAACCGAATTTAGGGATTAAGTAGTCTTCTTTCGCAAAGAAAAATTGATTTCTTTTAAAATATATCCATGTGTTTTGAAAAATTGGGAAGTTTTCCCTCCATCCGAAAGTAAAAAAAAGCTGCGAAAGACCATTGAAATGGTTCATGGGCTTTAAAAAATTGTTGAACCTTGACTCTTCGGAATAGCCAAAAGTGAATACAGTTAGAAGGAGCATGAGCTGAAAAGGAATAGCTTTTATAATTAATAAAGGATTTTATACATTTACTTGTTTTTAACAGTTTTTATTGAGTTATGGTTAGTTCCATTCGCTACTTGATCCAGATTAGATGTTCCGATTTTTTATTAGAGAGTCTGCAGATGTTTAAAAACGTTCATCATTTTAAAGCGCGCAGAAAAACATTGCCAGATGCGATTTGGTTGAAAGTTTGCGAGTGATTAGTGTAAAGTATTTTCTATCGTCTGGAGAAATTTTAAATTACTACTTCATTCAGATTAGAAGTTGCGATTTTTTATTGGAAAGTCTGCAGTTGCTTAAAATCGTTCATTTTCAGCCCAACATTTGAAAAACGGGCAAAGAACAGAATCTCATGCCATTTGGTTGAAAGTTTCATGGTTTTTAGAGTAAACTATTTTCTATCGCCTGAAGGAATTTCAAATTGCTACTTCATCCAAATTAGAAGTTGCGATTTTTCATTTGAGATTCTGCAGTTGCTTAAAACCGTTTATTTTCAACCCAACATTTACAGACCGCGTAAAAACCTGCATCTAATATGATTTGGATGAAAGTTTCAGAGTTTTTAGAGTAAAGTATCGTCTTCCTACTGCAGAAATTTAAGATTGCTACTTGGTCCAGATTAGAAGTTGCGATTTTTTATTGGATGCAGTTGTTTAAAATCGTTTATTTTCAGCCCAATATTTAGACAACGCGCAAAGAACAGAATCTCATGCGATTTGGTAAAAAGTTTCATGGTTTTTGGAGTAAAGTCTTTTTGATCGTCGGTAGAAATTTTTTATTTGCATATATTTTTTATTTTTTTTATTTGCGAGTCTACAGTTGCTTAAAAACGTTCATTTTCAGGTCAACATTTAAAAGCGTTCAAACAAACATCGTCTGATGCGATTTAGTTGAAAGTCGTCTGTAGAAATTTGAAATTGCTACTTCATCCAGATTAGAAGTTGCGGTTTTTTATTGGAGAGTCGGCAGTTGCTTAAGATTGTTTATTTTCAGCCCTACTTAGCGATTTTTTTGAAAGTTTCATGGCATTCAGAGTGAAGTGTTTTCTATCGCTTGTAGAAATTTCAAATTGCTACTTGATTCAGATTAGAAGTTACGATTTTTGATTGGAAAGTCTGCAGTTGCTTAAATCGTTTATTGGAACCAATTTTTGAAAACCGCGCAAAGAAGAGAATCTTATGCGATTTGATTGAAAGTTTCATGGTTTTTAGAGTGAAGTGTTTTCTATCGTCTGTCAACATTTTCAATTGCTACTTGAGCCAGATTAGAAGTTGCGATTTTTTATTTGAGAGTCTGCAGTTGCTTAAAACCGTTTATTTTCATCCCAGCGCAAAAAACTGCATCTAATATGACTTGGATCAAAGTTGCAGAGGTTTTAAGAGTAAAGCGGCTTCTTCTGACAGCAGAAATTTAAAATCGCTGATTGCTCCAGATTAGAAGTTGCGATTTTTTATAGGAGAGTCTGCAGTTGTTTAAAATCGATCATTTTCAGGTCCACATTTAAAATTGCTCAGAAAAACAGCATCTGCTATATTGCTACGAGCATTGTTGTGGTGTTTTACGCGTGTTTATTTCGCGTTTTCCAAAATATGCTTATATAGAAACATCCCGTATATCAGCACCCGTCTTGTTGACAGGAATTTTGAGCTCACTTTTCTGAAGATCAACGGCTAAAGCTGGGCATCAATTGCTAATTGCAACCCGAGATAGAAATTGAAGTTTTGCTGTTTTGATCTGTATTTAAAGACTTTTAAAGAGAATCTTCAAAATATGTTTAAAAACTAAGTATTTCCCTAAATGGCAGAAGTTCATTATTTTCAGGCGCATTATCGCCATGGACAAACAAACGTAGTTTAATCCAGTTCAAGCACTGCTGTCAACAGCAAATTCGAACTTCCGCACCAAAGTGCTTATCATCTCTTCTACTACTATGTACTTTATAAGCTCTTTTTCAGCTCAATAAGTCCCAAATATGCAAACCCCAACAATTGTGCACCAAATTCCAACATTCTCAACTGGCAAGTTCAACCTTGGCGAAAAAAAGCGCAAATCTGCACTAGACTGCGAAATTTAGTCATAGAATCAGGTGCATGTCTATAGCAATTGCATTTAGGCAGATTGAAGTACACGCTGTACTTTTGCCGCATAACACTTTGCAGTCTAATCAAGACATTTTCGTGGCTGACGTGGTAGAAAGTAATTTAGAAAGCGCCACTTCCAGTTATACGACAGATGCAGATTGTGTTCTTTGCGTTACAGGCAAAAATCAGATAAAGCTGATTAGTATGTTCGGACACGCAAAAACCGACCGTGCACGAACAACTCAATTAGCTAACTGCGAGGATTTATCTAAATTAGATGCTAAACCGCTAATAATATTTTATATAATAAATAATATGGCGACAACCGAAAGGGGACACAGCTATTTCCTAGGCAGCGCGATGCAAAATGTAAATTATTAATACTGATTTATATTGTGAGGAGAACGAGGAACATGCAATGCAACCAACCGTTCCAGATAGGAAACATTCTACCCGACTCCACTTTTAATGGGTGCTTGCACATTTTCAACACATTATATAAAAAGCCTTCAGAAACTTTCTAGATTCTTCGTTAGACGATTGATTCCTACCTTCACATTCTATGATCCCGATCATTTCATTCATTTCAAACACCTAGTATCTATATTTTAAAGTATTACATTTTCCATCGGACGCTTTCAGAGTCCATGTTTCCAGATTATTTTTTATAACGGGAACATCAAACGCACTGCAATCCGATGGCCTATTTACACGTTAATAAACTCCGAATGTATGTGCACATCGATTTGAATAAATAACAATCATACAGTTGTTTCGATGGAATTCACGTATTATTATGTCTATTAGTTTGCAAAATTGCCGGCTTAACGCCTATTTAAACTGAAAAGCCTTTAACGAACAACGATAATTGTTTCTGATAATTAGAGATGAAGTTTCTTAGTTGTCGAGTTTGTCATTAATTTGTCCTACCAAAATAAAATTAAGTGGCACTTGGAGGAATGCAAAAGCCTCTCATCGGTAGATTCCGTCGACTATTTTGGTCGAAAACATAAGCATTTGGTATTATTGTGCGTCACTCACGCATCAAATATAAGCTGAACATGATCAGCCGATCTGCATTATGTGCAATCGACTCAAAGTGGAGTTAAAAAATGAGTGTCTGGAATATTTCCTTGTGGTTTGCGGTTCTGTTTCTACAGCAAGTTTTTGGCTGGAGTGACCTAAAGCCAAGGGGCGAAATCAAAGAAGGCACAACCAGTTGAAGGTAAATTGTCCAGGAATTTATTGAAAAACGTTATTTTAGGATGCACAGTAACTGATTTTGCTGATATACCGTTCGCCATTGAGGAATGCAGTGTTATAATTATGGGAAGTTTTGAGGTACCTGGAGGACAAATTATGGAGCTTAATCTAAGAGATTACACGACGGTGGTTTTCGCCGGCAATATCACATTTGGTCATGCCGAATGGGAGGGTCCTCTGGTTGCTATTAATGCTAGCAATGCTATTATTTTTAGTGAAGACGGTAAATCACTTTTCCCGTTCATTCGAAAATTTCTCTACTGTTTTTGGATGCAATCCAGATGTTATTTTGGATGGACAAGGTCAACTCTACTGGGATGATGTTGGGGAATTTGGAAGCCCAAAACCGTTTTTCTTCGTCATGCAGTTGCACAATTCCATTATGGTCAAGATGCACATTTTGAATCCGCCTATGCACTGTGCCATTTTGTCCGATTCTTCCAATGTTCAACTTGCTGACTGGATTATCGATAGTGAGGCCGGTGATGGGGTTAGTTTCAAGAAAAATTTCCCTAAAAGTCAATTTTAACATTATCTTCATAAGACGCCCAGAGCGTGGAACACTGATGGTTTTGATGTTTGGAATGGCACCAACATTGCCATTAGAAACTCATACGTTTTCAACCAAGATGACTGTGTGGCTCTAAGATGCGGTAATCAATACGTTTTGGGAAATTTAAGTATTTAAAACTCTTGGTTTTCTGGAAAATTTAGGTGCAAATATGTTGGTGGACAACATGACTTGCTATCACGGTCATGGCTTAAGTATCTCAGTCGGATTTACCACTGATTCCTTGGAGCAGAACACTCTTGAGAATGTGACGATCAGAAACTCGTTTCTAAGCGGCGGTTGGCAGGCTATTCATATAAAAACCCATGTGGATGGCGGTCCAGGATTAATACGCAATATCACATACAGTAACATCCAATTCGAAGGCGTGGAACACTATGGTGTGAATATTCAAGAAAACTATCGGGACGCTCCAAATTCAACCTCACCGCCCTATCCAAAGAACAATGTTCCAATAGTCGATTTAACTTTAGAGAACATCAAGGGAACTACTTTAGATTCGGCTGTACCTATTTACGTGTTATGTGCGGAAGAAGGGTGTTTCGACTGGAAGTTCAACAATATCATGATCGAGTCAATTAACGGGAATAATTGTACAGCTCCCCCTGAGGGTATTGAATGCTAACGATTTTTATTAGATTTTCCCGCTAATTAGTACCAATCTGATAATAAATAGGAAAACAGTGACATTTGGAAATAAGTTAGTTAAGTAGAAAGGTTAAATGTACGTTTGTGGATCGGAAATAGTTGCTTTTGTTTGGGTTCCAAAATATTGTGTCCCACTTAGGAAAATATTAATGAAACTGTCGGATACCAAAATATGTTCAATTCTACTTGAAAAATAAAACAAAATTAGAGAACATTAGCACATTTAAATTTAAAAAATTCGAAAAAGACATGTTTTCTCAAATCTCTAAACCTTTTTTATTCGAGCTATAAATAAAAAGTTTTAGGGGACAAAAACAAATTAACTTTCTCCAATTCATTGTAATTGACATTGTCTGCGATCTTTGTGAAGTGTGTGTTTAAGGATTTTTTTTATCAGAATTTCAGTATTGTATTTTACACATTTTATCGAAGCCGCTATATGAGAATTGAGTGTTTTTTTATGCTGAAAAATGTACTTTGACTTGCACATATTAATAGACGTCCTTGATTTCTATGTTCTCTGAACTGAAGATTATCAATAAAAGCACTCAAACACTTATATGAACATCTGTTTTGTAGTAATGTGTTTTTTACAGATTAAAATTGAAATGCAGGAATACGAAATAAACATGCGAAATATTTCACAAAAAGTAATAGAGACTATAGTTTTCACACTTAAGATCACACAAATTAACCGCGTTTCTTCAAGCAACTTCTACAATTTTCTCCAAAGACTTATGTTGAAAATGTATGTCTACTGTTCTCAAATTATGTTAATATTCAATTTTCCCGTCAATTTTTTTCATAATTTGCTGGAACTACATTCTTAAAACATTTCAGTTTGTTGCCGATATCTTTGCTGTTTCATCCGTAAAGTTCCAAAGAATATATTCACTTTGCTTTTATGACAAACTTAGCAAATGATATTTCCTGTAGATTTAATGAGTCCCATATACACATCAGATAGGAAAATACGAGGCAGAAAATTGCCGGTTTTATGGCTAATAAAAAGTTCCTTACATAACTTAGTGTTTCGGTGCGCTTTTTCGAATAGACATAGTGCGGAAAATTAAACTAAACTCAAAAACATAAGTAGCATAAGTATACAGGTAAAAATGAGGGTCTAATAGAAGCTTCGGAACAGACGTTTTTTATTAACGTTTAACAATTATGAATTCATTCAAATCACATAAAATCATGAATTTTGCGCGCCGCTTCGTAAATGTTGATTGGCGAAGACTTCTGTAGAAGATGGTTTTTTAAATGAAATTACGGCCCAAACTTGCACTTAAATGTCTGATATTCAAATGTCGTGTAACATTTTGTGATAAATCTACCAAAATTTATTCACGCACGTTGTTATAACTGAAACGAATTAGCAATTCTTTATCGAATGATTTAAAAACGAACTCTGTGGCTCAAATGATTATTGAGCAACGTCAAGAAAAGCGGCGTCATGTCTTTGTCGATTTTGCAATAAAAAAGGCAAAACTAAAACTCTTGAATTTTTTTACAAAAAACATAAAATGGAACGCATATTTGCATATAGGAAACGGTTCTTTGGAGACAAGTTTCAGATGAGCTTGATGTACAAATTCAAAGCCGTCTAAATAATTCCCCCACTTTAAAAATTTCTTGTGAAAGAATCAATGGTTTAATCGGAACCAAATCCACACTATCAGTATACTGATACTAATGGTATTGAATATTGGAACCCTAATTTTCATATCTGAAGCGGTTCTTTAGCGAAAAGCTTCAGATCAAGTTGATATAAAAATACAAAGGCGCCCAAAATATTCCCAAAGTTTAAAAATAACTACGAAGGAATCAATAGCTCAATCGATACCAAATCAACGCTACTAGTGAGTTGATGAATATGAGACTAACATTTCTACATGTTCATAGCAACCATGGGCAAAGTAACTAATGGCAAACTTACCGAAAGCTGCATCGTACCACCTGGAAAGAAAGAAGAAAATGTGTTTAGTATCGCAGAAAATATGTCTAAAGCCAAAGTTATATGAAATCAGCAGAGTAAGGAGAATGAAATATGAACCCATAAAATTTCAGTTGCTCGTCAGAAAACTAAACATAGTTTAAGCAAAAATAATTATAGATTAGAGGTCATTATTACCAGCTTTCTGCGAGCTGGGGCTCCATCCTCAAATTTCTACCCGTTAATCTTCAAAAAGTGCACTACACTTTTACAAACTACCGCACTCGCCATAAGGGCCACAATGATTCCATATTTCGCGTCTAAGAACGCAATTTACATGACATAAAGGGGTATAGACCGATTTCGTCCACCGTCGATAGCAAACTGGATATTCTCAACAACAACTAAACGAAAAACGTCTGAATTTCATTCAGCTGCAGTGTTTAATGTACAACTCCAAAACTAAAATTAATAGCCGAATTAATTTTGTTCTTCTAAAAATATTGAATGAACAAAAATGCGAGAGGAAATCACCCAAAAATTGATTTTTTTCTCAATTTCCGAACAATAATAGAAACCAACGAAATTTCAGATAATTAAAAATGTCTATTAAAACTTCTGATTTCAATAATTATTCCACCACAAGTGCAATTTGAGCTTAGGCGCGGCGATGAATTATAGCTAACCAACTCACAGCGGCATCAACTCAAAAGCGCATTTCAACACAGTGTCCTACCCAGGCCTAACTCAAACTATCAAAAAATATATTTTAAGAAAAGCCAGTACTTTAGGGCCAAGTTAAATAATCAGATTTTAATCTCGACACAGTTAGCTCTAGAAGCTAATMACCCCGAAAATAATACATTTAATTAACCGTTTGATAATTCCACTTTATGCCTGGCAAGCGTCTTCTCATGCACTAGAGTCGCTTTAAAATTCATGSATTGAGTTTGTTTGAAAGCTGCCAATTCATTATCGCTTCCTTATCAKTTCGAGCAAGGCGCGAAGCTAGAGCCAAAGCAACTGATTGATCGCCAACTTAGTCTGAACTGCTTTAAGCGATTTCGGGGGAATGTTTATCTAGAATATATAACACCGGATTAAATTTCGATTAATGTCGTACCTTGCTCGAAATGGCTGAGACAATGCTCGAAACTGAGGTTTACGAACATTTTTAAATTTCAATATATTCGCTTAATTCTAGCAAACGTTTTAAAAGTCAACGTCTGTTAACCAGTAATACTGCAAAGATTCGATTCTCTTATTCTCATTAGTCCTTTATTAATACCGTTAATTGCTTTTCGATTCAACGGCGAAACTCCCTAATCAGAAGCTTTGCTAATGGCTGTGAAAGACATCTTTAATTTTGGTCTGGGAATGTAATAAAGAAAAGTTCGTGCATTTATCCCTTTGGCATGCGATTAACTAGATATTCGTTTGGGAATGAGTCGATTTAGTGAGCAAAAAAGGGATGGAAAAGTTATCAGCTAGACAAGTAGTGGCAAGCAGACGATTTTTTTTGAGCCATTATTAGAGAAAATATTTTTTCAGGCATTGGCTACAGCCAATTAAATATGCCAGCATTAAGGAAGTAAACTAAAAAAATACATGATCTAACTCAAGAAAACTGGTGCGGCTGCCAATTTCGTTCAATAAAAATTAGCTTTCCGCCATCGTTTTTCCTCGATATTTCATCCGCTCTAATCCCTTATTCATTGCATGCCATCGGCTGGCTAAGTGCTAAGACTTTGCCTTATTAAATTCCTTAGGCGAAATTAAGAAAGTCTCCCAAATTTCTTATTATCCCGGTTTATTATTCGGAAAATAATTCCGAAAATCATCCCTTGTTTACAACTCTTTAATGAATTAATAAAGCGATCGCTTTAATACTTTTGTGGCTAACTTTGGTAACCATAAACTGTTTATTAATGGAAATGAACTGATTTTTAGCATTGAGCATTTTCAATATTGAAGACTACATGGAACATAAGTTGCAAATGATGCGAGAAACGAATTAAGTACTAGAAATTAGTAGAAATTACAATTAGAAAAAACACAAACAAGATCAATTGGTTAACCACAAAAGTCGGTAAGTTTCTCAGATAAAACCTAACAGTAACACTTTATTGTTCGAAATTATGATGTCTGGATACCTTTGTGGCTTTTTTTATATACAAGATGGTCAGCTAAAGTTCAAAATTTCAATGATCTATTCTACGTCCTTAATCTAAAAAGTCAATTTTCTCATGCTTTGCTTGGATGTTCCCACTGTAAAGAGGAAGCGAAATCACCCTCTAGAAACTACTTGCATGCAAAGTACCTAAATGAAATAAGCGATTAACTACCAAGAATCATCTCAATCTTATTAATCTCGGTACGCGTTGACGGTACTTGTTACATTCCGCATTTTTCATAAAACTAAAATATACATTCCCCGCATCATCAAGAACGCAACATGATAAATCATCATCGTACAGTGAATTAATCTGTTGCATTTAACCTCCAAGCATTTAAATTATGCAGTTAAAAAGAGTCCGAGCTATGTTTAATAGCTGGCGTATTAACGCTGCCCGCTTTTTCACTCACACAAAAGAAAAACCATAGACATAATAATAATAATATGTTCAAGCGAGGAAAAAGATCGACACTTCCCTTGAGAAAACAAAGAAAAAGAAACTCATTAGCTTACGACTATGTCATTAATTCAATAAAGCCAATATTAATTATAAAGCGACAAACTCGTTAATGGTCGCCGGTAATAAATTATACTCAGTGTTTCAAATATTAATTAGGAATGGTAAACTGACGGTGCAGAAAGTCGAATAGTCATAGGTCGGGTCTCAATGGACAGGTGGATGAAGAATAGGGTTCCTAAAGGTGTGTCGGTTCCGTGACAAATCTTCTTATTAAAACTGGCGAGTTCGTAAATAATTTTCTAAACTATCTACCGTCAAAATAATTAAGTTTCTTCAAAGAGATTAACCACAGGTCATTAACTAAATGGGTTTGGCTTGCAATGTTCACATTTTTATCACAAGCTTCACTCTTTGGAAAGAAATAAATTGATTTGTTTCGTTAAAGCAAATCGCTAGAACTTTGTGTGTCTTTTTCATTTTCGTTATTATCATTTTTTCTTTGTTGAAATGTTTATTGTTTTAAATACACAATTGTTCGCTTTAAAAACTGCACCCGAAACTCACAGAATATTGTGATTGGTGAACCTCGATTTGGCTTGATAAATTCTTCCAACTTAGAAGGGTGAATGTAAGTAATCGGGCAGAAATCTGCTGTTAGAATATGAAAGAATGGATAGTGTTTGGTAAGTGGCATTTTATATAAGAAGATCCTGCAAATATACATCAACTTCCTAAACACGCAGTGTTTTGCAATATGATATTTCATCCGTATAGCTCAGATTTATGAGCAGTGAGGCAAATTATCTGTAGAATCTCATTTTCACTGTTCTCTATTGACTTTGAGAAGCATATTTTAATTCATATTAGTTTGACGATTTGAGGTAAAAATATTTAATTTTCTTTACCATTTCTAGTTTTAAGAGTATTGTATTTGACCAATTCTCTTCTTTTGCTGATGCAAGTGGCAAGAGAAGTTTTTTTGCAA